CCCCCCGGCGCTGCGCTCCGCCTGCTTGCCCAGCTCATTGCTGTTGCGGACGCCGCCGCCAGGCAAGCAGGCGCAGCGCAGCGCCAGGGGAGGGGGAGCAAGTGGCGAGCCGTAGCCAAGCGCGAGGGGGAATGCCAGAAGCCTCGCGCGAAGGGGGGAGGCCTGGCGACGCTGCGCCCTGCCGGGCGCTCACTGACAGGGCGGCCAGGGAGGAACAGCCAAAATGCCCCCTCGGCTTATGCGCGGGTCACCAATTTTTCCCAGTTCTCTGGGAAATCGGTCCCTCGGCTTATACTCGGGTCGACTTATACTCGAGTATATACGGTAAATATGAGCCAGCAGTGTGCTGCAGCTGCCAAAAAGGCCAACACAGTGCTGGGCTGCATTAACAGAGAGATAGGATCAAGATCACGTGAAGTGTTAATACCACTTTACAATGCCTTGGTAAGGCCACACTTGGAATACACTTGGAATTATTATTGATCATCGCACAGTCAGCCAGATGTTCAGACTGGATTTGGCATTTTTGTCTACCTATCGAGTCCTTACCAAGGACCTGGGATAGGCAGATGTGGATGTTTGATGTTATTACAGATATCGTCGCAGGATGGAAGCAGTTCCTAGTAAGGCCGCCTTTTGCAATTGACTAATGGCGAATTTGTCAATGCCAATGGTGCTCAAGTGGTGCTCCAGTGGTTTTGGGATTGCACCCAAGGCACCTATTACTATTGGTACTACCCTTGCTTGCTTTTGCCACAGTCGTTCTATTTCTATTTGTAGGTCTTTGTATTTTGTTATCTTCTCCAGTTCTTTCTCGTCTATTCTGTCTCTAGGCACAGCCACATCCACTATCCAGACATTTTTGTCTTTCTTATCGACAATTGTTAAGTCCAGGGTGTTATGTTGCAGGTGCTTGTCTGTTTGAATTCTGAAGTCCCAGAGCAGTTTAATTTTATCATTTTCCATGACTTTCTCTATTTTATGATCCCACCAGTTCTTGCTTACAGGCAAATAATATTTCTTGCAGATCTTCTAATGCACCATTGTTGCTACTTTGTCATGCCGTTGCTTGTAGTCAGTCTGTGCGATCTTCTTGCAGCAGCTTACCAGGTGGTCCACTGTTTCTTCAGCTTCTTTGCATAGGCGGCACTTACTGTCTGTTTCTGTCTTCTCAATTTTGACTTTATATGCATTTGTCCTTAAGGCTTAGTCTTGTGCAGCCAGAATTAGTCCCTCGGTCTCTTTCTTCAATTTTCCTGCTCTTAGCCATTGCCAGGTCTTGTTATTATCTGCTTTCCCAGCTATTTTTTTAAATATACTGGCCGTGTAGTGCTTTGTCTTCCCATGCCTCTATTCTGTTCTTCATTTGGTCTTTCTTGTAGGCGAGTTTGGTCTCTCCAGTAGTCAGTAAGCCTTCCTGATATACTAATTTCAGTGCATCTTCATCATTGTCCTTCAGATATTCTTCCAAAGCCATTTTTTCTTCTTCAACCATCTGATGTACTTGCAGTATTCCACGCCCACCTATTTGCCTTGGTAGATAGAGTCTGTCAATGTCACTGCGTGGATTAAGGGCATGATTCATTGTCATGATTTTTCTGGTCTTCCCATCCATTGCTTTTAGTTCTGCTTGAGTCCAGTCTACTATTCCAGCTGTGTATCTAATGACTGGAATTGCCCAGGTGTTGATTGCCTTCATGGTATTTCCTCCATTGAGTTTGGACTTTAAGATCTTCTTCACTCTCTTGGTGTACTCACCTCTAATCTTTTTCTTGACTTCCGTGTGCTTGATATTGTCAGCTTGAAGGATACCCAAGTATTTGTAGTAATCTTCCTCATCCAGACTCTTAATTTTCGTGGGGCATCTTGATTTCTTCAGTTTTCACTATTTTCCCTTGTTTGATAGTAAGTGTAGCACATTTGTCCAAGCCAAACTCCATTGCAATATCTTGGCTATATATACGGACAGTGTTGAGCAGCGATTCTATTTCAGATGCTGTTTTTCCATATAGCTTCAGATCATCCATGTAAAGGAGGTGGGATAGTCTGGCAGATGTTTTTGATGTTTGATAGCCATGTCCTGAGTTGTTCAGTATTGTTGACAGAGGAAACAGTGCAATAACAAATAGTAATGGTGATAATGAATCTCTTTGAAATATTCCTTTCTTGATGTTAACCTCTCCCAGTCTCTCATCATTGACATGCAACTGTGTCTTCCATTGTGCCATCGATCTTTGCACAAATTCTTCTTCTTCTATTATTATTATTATTATTATTATTATTATTATTATTATTATTATTATTATTATTATTATTATTATTATTATTATTATTATTATTATTATTACTTCTGGTGAAGAATAACCAATCACTTCTCTGGGCAATTGATACCTTTCTAACATCCAACCAGAATTTGGTGTTTTGTAAATTAAATATATTATTCTGTGCCCTGCCATTTGGGGTGATGCAGAATAGAACTTTACATTTTTAGATTGTTAACCTATGCTCCCCTCACCCAAAGTGTTTTTAGTTTTTTCATTGTCTCATCATAGGATTTGATTTCCAGTCTTCTAATTAAGCCCACTGATCTTTTCTGAACTTGTTCTTCTATCTATGAATTGTTCTTGAAATAGTTATAATGTTCTAAGAGAAGTTTGACCAAAGTAAAATAAAGTAAAATTGTGTCTTCCTATATTTATGAAAGTATAGTTCTGCTGATGTAAAAACTGCACTTGCCCCTTTTGCAGCAGTAATACCCTGCCAACTTATATTTAATGCAGAAAACTTTTAGTTGTTTGCTGTGTCAGATATAATCATAAAACTTTGACAAATCATTACCATTCTCTAATTTCAGGACAAATATAATTCACAAGGCAATATTCTTGAGATGAAACAGAGATCTTCTATTATACCCCTGTGACATTTGGTATGATATTAACCTTTTTCTGCCTGAGACAGAAATCTCAACATTTTTCTGCCTGAGACAGAAAAAAACATTCGGGAAGATAATAGTTGCTCTGACAATCAAATTAAGGGAATAATGGAATGACAATATACAGTTATTTTTTCAGACAGGAAATTATCATGAGGGGATGAAACAATGAAGCTCCTATCAACTTCCTTAATTCCATCACTTTCATTCACTGTGTATTGATCAAGGTTGAAGGCTTTTGTAAATATTTAAACATTTGATATAAAATAAAGCAGTTTTCATAATACCATTAATAAGAATTGTTTTTCCCTACATAGGGTGGATCACATAGAGTGTCCATTTATGAAGACTCAGACCCATTTCGTTTCCGACACATGATTCCCTTGGAGGCTTTGCAAGTTCGAGCATTGGCAAGTGCAGGTAGGGTTAAATGGTTTGTTTATGATTTTTTTTTCATTTGGTTACTCTACAACTTCTCTTTTGAAAAACTATATCCCAGGTAATTACCAAACTACAAGTTTGGTAAGTATATAATCCAGCAGGAAAGCCAATTTATCAAAATAAGAATTACCAAAAAAAAAAAGATAGCAGAAAAAAATAGCAGGATGTCCCATTCAGATTATATTTGATAACAGTTTTAACTGCCCAAATGGGGCCTTTTATTTGGTAAATGTGAGTGTTAGCTCAAATTCTTGTTGGTTTCCTATTTCCTGAATTTCAGAACAGGAACCTAAAGAGAGCAGGAATTGTATAGCACAGTTGCTTTCACACTTTCTTCTTTTAAAGAGAGTTAAACCCTTAGTGATTGAACATTTAACTTTACAATAATTCTGATAGTCAACAAAATTACTTAAAGGAGTGGGGGGGCCACCATTATTTTAGTGTTTGAACTAATGCTTGCTAAACACAGCTTCAGGGTGCTGTTTCTGCTGCTCCCCCCTTTCTTTGTTTACATTGCTTATTAATATCCATAGCATCATTATTTCTAACTGGCCAGAAAACCTCTTTATCCCTCTCCCACAGCCCTTATCTCCTCTGGAATTCTCCTCAGTCACTATTTCTCAGCCTCCTTTCCCCATGAGGCAAAACAGGCCATTAGCAGGGTTAACATAGCTTTCCCAACTACTCTTATTTATGCAGATACATTTAATCTTTAAAAATATAAAGGAAGTTGAGTCTCACCTGTCAGGCTATTTTTCAAACATGAAAATAGATTTGAATTGTCCTTAATGCTCATGTAGTTCTCTCTCTCTCTACCTCCCTCCCTCCCTCTCTCTCTCTCTCTCTCTCTCTGCATCAACTGACACAAATTCTGTTTTCGGATATAAAATTTGTAGTCTCAAAATACAGAGCAATTTGCAGATGCTTTTCAATTCCTAATATGTATTCCTAATATGAGCTGCTGATGTGCACTGCCTGTGGTGTACCTGTAGGAGTTTTTAGATTCACTACTGAGAGTTTTAATTGTGATGAGAGCTGGATCAAGCAAGAAAACAGCAAGGTACCTTAATTAAGTCACTGAAAGGTTTCATGGCCTATGAGATTGTAGTTTGTTTTCATGTTGTACCATGGGATGACATTGTAGGTATATGGACAATACTGTCTTTGGAAATACAACAGCAGCTATATTTATATCAATATAAATGATATAAATAGAGTAAGTACTTCTTTAGGTCTCTTTTGTTGCTTTAAAATTTGAAATCTCCATGCAGTCTGTAGTTTCTCTGAAACAATAAAACATCTCATTCAATGCAGCCAATGGAAAGTGGTCCAAATGTGTTTTGTTCAGGTCTTTTCTTTTTTTGGGGGCTATGGCTAGTGGTAGCTCTTGCTTTAGTTTTAGACTTATGCTGATGGCTAATGTAGCTTATGGCTTATGGTAGCTCTTGCTTTAGTTTAGACTTATGCTGAGCATAGAAGAATTCACTATTGTAAAGTTTCAGTAGATAATGTGAAAGTTGTCTATTCTTGCTTATATAAACTTCCTTGACTTTACTTTTTAGATTTTCATTGTCCGGCTTTAAAGAAAATAGCATCAGTAAAGGTATATTCAACTATAGCATAGGAGCAAAAATGTATTGACCAAATAAAATGGCAGTTGCTTAAGAAGATCCCTTCAAATTGTTTACATTTGATTATTAACAAAATGGTTTGAATGGGAGTCATATACAGTCCACTCTGAAATGAACGGAGGATGTGCATGCAATGCTGCAACCGGCTGCAGCTCCTTATAGTGCTACACAGGCAGAGACGTCTTTGTGGAAGGAATATTGTTTACTTGGGAATGTTTGATTGTGATGGTTTTTAGAATCATTCACCACGTAAGAAAAGTCAGAGTAAAAAAAAAAAGTAGTACCAGTATTGGACATTGCTAATGGGAAGATGCTTGATGTGATGGATTGCAACCATATTAAGAAGCTTTTACATGTTATGGTCATTCTGTGTATTCAGCATGACATGAAAATAATCCATCATTTCACATCACCACTCCTGGGGCTATAATTCTTGAACCAATTAATCTTAGATATTTAATTCACTAAGCTAATCATCACAGCAGTCTTCAAATTTCAGATGAGATTGTTTTTGAAATCTACAGAATGCTTTCAGTAAATAAACCAAAATTATATTTTCAAATTTGTCTTTCTTTTTCTCAGACGCAGAGACCAGTTCTGTCTGTGAGATCGTTCATGTGAAATCTGAGTCTGAAGGCAGGCCAGAGAGGTCATTCCATCTTTGTTGTAGGTAAGGAGTGATGGTTTGCAAAATGATATTGCCATTTACACTAAATAAATAAGTGTCAATATTCTGCTGCCAGACCAGCATCTAACTGGCACGTGCTCTTTCTTTCTTCTTTTCAGTTCCCCAGAACACAGGAAAGATTTTCTAAAAGCTGTGCATTCAATTTTACGTGACAAACACAGAAGACAACTTCTTAAAACGGAAAGTTTGCCCTCATCTCAGCACTATGTCCCATTTGGAGGGAAAAGGCTGAGTGCACTGAAAGGCGCAAGGCCAACTATGAACAGGACAGGTACTCCCGGTTAAAATTTGTTAAAGCACTCCAGAAGAGGGGGGGAGGAAAGGAGTTTAAGAGCAAGGAAGGATGATCCTACCCAATGCCCCACTCATTGGTTACTTTGTCCTCTCACATTATGTACCTGCAACAGATTAGTCTTGGGAGAATTTACAAAACAAAACAAAGCAAAGCCCCGCCACATAAAGAATGCTTTGCCCCATTAATATTTTTATCCCATTTATTGTAGCTTCAGAAATGTGTAATCAGATTGTATGTAATAATTAATTGCCATTGTGGCAGACTTATATAATACAATTGCCATTTACTTGATGAATGTTGTGACGTGTGAAAGGAAACTGAATTTACAAAACCCCACATGTCCCCCATAGGTCAGGATATCACATTAAATATCAGCTCTCTGTATTTTGCCCCATCACTGCTACTTTTGCATCTCTTCAAAAAGTCTGACATGCGGTGCTAGTAAAGCACTACTGAATTGCCTTATCTATTAAGCATATCTTAAAATAATGAAGTGAGAAGTAACAGAGGATCATTGAGCTCTTGTGTTTCAATGGTCCAGATGTTAAAGTTAACTAAGACAATTCTATCTATTGGAGGAAGAAAAAGTACTATCTTCTTTTTCCATGATAATATCTAAGTGGTTAACTACAGGGTAGTTTAAAAATTACAAGGCTGATTTTAACCTTGTATACAACTTCATTTGTCTGCATAGAAAATTTAGGTATAAAATTTTCCAATGATAATTATTTATTTCAGGCATACAGGTACACAGACACACATGCACACATACAGCACAAATAGATTTTAACACATTTACCACATTCAAAGCACTCATTTTTTATTTATTTTGTATTTATTACATGTTGTGTTTCTAAACTGTCCATCTCCCTCATGGAGATTTATTAGCCTTTCTTCATGTTTATCAATTCCCCAAGTCATATCTTGTCAGATTTTACATGCTTCATTGTTATTAATTATCAGCTACTGTGTTTCCCCAAAAATACGACCTGGTCTTATTATATATTTTTTTTGCTTCCAAAACAGGCACCAACTCTTATTTTTGGTGTGTATGTGTGTGTGTGTGTGTGTGTGTCTTTTCCGCGGTGGCACCAACAGTCCTGCCCAGCCCACCCACTTCTTCTGCGGCCGAAGGAGCAGCTTCATTTTGCAGCTGAAAATGGAGCTCAGGCCTGCATTTTGCAGTCAGAGGCCTTTCTTGAAGGCCTCTGCAGCCGAGCACTGAGCTGTGGATGCAATCTATAGCTTGGTTTTTGGCTACGCAGGCCTTCCGGAAAGGCCTCTAACTGTGAAATGCAGGCCGAGCTCCATTCTCAGTTGCAGAATGAAGCTGCTCCTTACAGCAAGGCAAGTGTCAATCCATGGGAGGCCTGGCTGCAATGGTAAGCTCCACCTGCCCACCCTCACCCTAGCTTTTTAGCTGTGCCCCTCACCCCAAAACTAGGGCTTATTTTGGGGGTAGGGCTTATATTAGGCCCACCCCCAAAAATCAATCTAAGGCTTATTTTCGGGGTAGGTCATACTTTTGGGGAAACATGGTATTGTGAAGCGGGGCATGATGGCTGAGTGGTTAAAGATGCTGAGCTTGTCAACTGGAAAGCTAATAGCCTGGGTGTAAGACCCGAGCACCGTGAGATGGGGTGAGCTCTTGTTACCTGCCCCAGCTCCTGCCCACTTAGCAGTTTGAAAGCATGCAAGTAGATAAATAGGTAGCAATTTGGTGGGAAGGTAACAGCGTTCCATGGGCCTTTGGTGTATAGTCATGCTGGCCACATGACCATGGAAATGTCTTCAGACAAAGCTGGCTTCCTTGGCAAGAAACGGAGAGAAGCACCAGCCCCTAGAGTCAGATATAATAGTGGAAACCTTTACCTTTACTTTTATTGTGAAAGAAAGAAGAATGCAAAGGCTAATTTTTAAAATATTCAAACTTCTCTTTATAAAAGCATCTGGGATTTTATTTTTGTGTGTGCGCAGTGTCCGCCCCAAGCAAGTCACTCGGGAGGAGAAGGCGCCGCCTAGGTCGAAACAGATTTACCATTGATTCAGATGCCGTCTTTGCCAGCAGTCCTGAGAAAGAGACCCATCAGACATCCAACAACAAGGACACTGACCGCTGGGTAGAAGAGCAGTTTGATCTTGGTCAGTATGAAGAACAAGAGGACATAAAAGAAACAGATATTCTCAGTGATGAGGAGGACTGTTGTGAGCCTTTGAAGAGCACTATGGTTGAAAAAGAACTCCAGGAACAATTGCAGTCAGCCTCTATTACAAACAACCAATCATATCGGGGAAACAAAACACGGTACACTATGGGCTCACACGCATCCAGAATGGCTCAATTAAAGAAGCAAACTGCTCTGTCTGGAATTAATGGTGGCATGGAAGGCAATGGTGAAGAAGTCATTTGGGTTCGCCGTCAAGACTTTGTACCATCAAGAAAACTAAACACGGAGCTTTAGATCCAATACTTTCTTGTTAGATGCTAGGTATAGGTGAACCCCAAATTTATCCTTTATATATTGTGGAGAACCATCCCTTAGAATGCATACTTGCACATATAGTAATGGCAGCTAAACTGGTTGAAACTACAGCCTCTTCTCCTTTTTTCTCCTTTAAAATAGTATAAAAAGGAGAAGTGAAGTAAAATTTGAAAATGGAATGAGCTTGAGTCCTTCTCTATATAGTACCAAGGGCTTTATTTATTAAAAACAAATCAGGGGCTGCATAATATAATGGGCTGCATAGATATTGCTAAAAAACACAACGCTGTGGGTGTTTTTCTTAAAATATATGCGTGCAGCAAATTAGCTTAAGTGATAGCACAACAGCAAATTAATTTTATATGTGATAAGTAAAAATCATAGGTTCATCTTTAAAAAGTTGCAGCAAACAAGGAACAATTGTCCATGACTGCAGCAGATTTCACTCTTCAACTCAAAGCTGTTCACCCTTATCCAGCAAGGGCAATCTATTCTGCACATGGGATTTCCTTCTTTCTGAGGTACCACAAGTGGGAATGGTGTTGAATGGAGGGAATAACTTGCATTCAACACTCAAGGACATACAAGGGATGATCTGCACTGCACATGCACTGCTAACTAGATGTTTGACATCACCACCCACTGAGTAGTCCAGTTGCTTATTTGCAGGAATTAGAACCAGCCTTCCCTTTCTTTTCTTCTTTAACAAGTTATAGCCTTTATAGTGCCAAACATCTCTAGTAGCTGAGGTAGCTGCATGCAGTAGCATTCACAAAGCTTCCTGTTGCGAAGTGAACATCTCTTGATTTGGTGATGCAATGTGTATTTTAGGGATGTGTGAGGGAAAATCTGGAATTTATGTTGTGCTGAGTTCTTTTTTGGTCTGTGGTTAGTTTAATGTCAATGTTGGAATTTCTAACTTTACATAAAAAATATAACAATGCAAAATCTTTTTTTTTTCAACTTTAGAGATCGAAATTCAACACTTGAAAATAGTTTTCTCTATGTTACCTAAAATGCAAAGGCACAAATGAATGGGGATTTGATGGTGTTAAACTGCAATTACTGAGAAGTAAGACTGACTTTCAAGTAGACATACAGAGGGCTGTGCTGTTCAGTTCCAAGTTTGGGCTGTAAAACAACAAACTTTTCAGAAAGGGTTTGAAGATGTTGGTTTTATAGTCTGAACTGCAAACTTCTATGGACAAAATCTCATTTCTGTAAAATATCAGTGGGCAGCTACACATATTTGAGACTGGAATTAAGTTAGCAATGTCAACGAGCTGAACATCCAAGGAGGTTAAGTTAATCCCTGTTGTGATTTTGTTGCAGTTGGTAGGATTTCACCTTGGGTGAGTTTGATCCTCCCTGCCTGATCAAGTTAGGCTCAGGAAAAATTAAATATTTTATGGCCAGAAAAGCTGACCTCATCTTATCCATGTGAGATTAGTGTACATTATTACTTGATTCCCTCTCCATACTATTAAATAATACGAACAATATACTAAACAGGCAACTTTCAATTACATTTAAAACTTCCTATTTAAACATCTATAACAGGGTACAGATCAAAGAGTTCCAAATAATTTTTAAAGCACTTTTTTCTTTTTAAATATTTATATGGCTTCCCCATCTTAGTTTTGCTCTGCAAAAATGGGAGGATTTGGGGTTTTTTGTTTTTCAAGTGGGATTCTTTTCAGACCTACTGATGTTTGACACATTAGTAGGTATATTGAAAATCTAAAATTTTGTAGTAGCTTTAGGGGATACTTTTGTATAATTCGCTATGGCTATGTTTGATGACATGAACAGGAAATATTACCCAGTACCATCTGCTGTCTTATGTCTCAACCAGTATTGGAGTGTCACCTGTTTGATTCTCAGTGCACTATATTCAGTATTTTGATAGTTTTATTCTCTCAACTTTTGCTATTTTTTAACCGTTTTATTAAAAAGCTTTCTAAGCCCTGTGTATCTCATCATATTAAAATTAAATCAGTTGTGTACCAACTTATTAGACATTACAATGCTTTTGCTGTCCCTAGTGGAATACAATAAGCCTGTGAAATGCTGGACGTCCTGTGCTTGGAGGGTGCCATTGTTCTTGTACATAATATAATGACCTGTCAATGTCAAAGGTTCTTATATATTTCTTTTATAAGCTGAAAGAAGGTCTATTTTTATGTTTCTAGGCATATGAATGGAACGTTGTAAATGCCTGTCAAATAAAATAATGCTGAAAAATATTGGGGGAACGTCTTCTTTTTTGTTATTTTATTTCAGTATAAAACATTTTAGTTATACTGGCTGGAGATTTGCAGAATTAATAGCAATTTATCTTGAGTACCCTAGGTTGGAAAGAGCTTGTAGTAGAGTGTTATATGTGCCTAATGAAAAGGACAACAGACACAACCCAAGAAAATGTAACCTCTTTCTATATCTTAAATTAGGAGTAACTAAACCAAAAGTAATCCAGGCTGAATTTCTAGATACTAGGGCACCTGGTTTATAAAAGGGCATTCATGGACCTCTGAAGTACCAGGTGAGTGGAGGATAGGATAGATTGTACATTAATTCACAAACAGATTGATTTGTAAGCACACTGACAACAATGCTTGATTGTTTACCAATACTTATACAGCATGTATTTGTTAAAAATAAGTCTTATCAGAGTAATCTTTCCTTTTAATATATATATATATAATTTAGTAAAACATTTCACAAATGACTCAATATCATTCAGATTACTAAATTAAGTACTGACAGCAAAGGATTTAATTAGCTTGAAAATCACAGACAAAGGGTTTATCAATGGGCTGATCTATTGAGGTTACCACAAGTGCTTATCTTGGATCATCTACTTTTCAATATATGGCTTGCATTAAGAGATGAATGCTTCCTAAATATCCAGATGACACAAAATTAGACAGATTAGCTAATACCATTGAGTAGATTGTTTTCCTTTGGTATATTATTACTCTCTAAGAAGTCATAAGCAAATTGGAATTGCAATTTTTTAGTTGCGTGGGAGGATTGAATTGCTGCTAGAACTTGCTCCTTTCTTCCTGGATGGAGGCTGGTCTGAGCAGAGTGAGAACAAGATTCTGTAGGGCTCTGGGGTTCCCTCCTGTGGTTTGATCAGTATCTGGGCGGAATAAAAGAGGTCCCAAATTTTGTTCTTGAGAGCTCCAGTGTGGTTTTACAGAAATTTAGCTTTGGCTGCCCATGGCTAGATCATTTGCAGGGCAGGGGAAGATCTACTAGGGTATGGTCTTTCATAGTTGAACAGACTTACCAAGATCTAGGCCTGGGGCTCACTGTAAGTTCATCTAGATTTGGAACACTGTTGCAGGTTGCTCCAGGGGTGGAGTTAAGATTTTGTGTGGCTGCTCACGAGGTGAACCAAATGTTGATTGTGCTGTAGGGGTAAGAGTGGCTGTTACAAAGGTAAGGCTTGAACTTCAGAGACCATGTGGAGATGAATTTATTTATTTATTTATTTATTTATTTATTTCTTGTATTTCTACCCCGCCCTTCTCCCTGCGGACTCAGGGCGGCTTACAGCCATTTAAAACAAATACTTGAATACAAAAATACAAAATTTAAAATATTAATTAAAATGAAATATTATTCTAAGGCCGAAAATTCGAAAATTTTTTTAAAACCAAATTAAAATAACCCTTAGGCCAGTCCTGCTAACTTAAATAGCCATGTCTTGAGGGCGCGGCGGAAGGAGGGGAGATCCGGAATCACCCGGATCTCTCGGGGTAGCTCGTTCCATAGGGTGGGGGCTCCAACAGAGAAGGCCCTCCCCCTGGGGGTCATCAGCCGGCACTGTCTGGCTGACGGCACCCTGAGGAGACCCTCTCTGTGGGAGCGTATCGGCCGATGAGAGGTAATCGGAGGCAGAAGGCGGTCTCAGAGATAACCAGGTCCGATGCCATGGAGCGCTTTGAAGATGATAATCAACACCTTGAAGCGCACCCGGAAAGCCACCGGCAGCCAGTGCAGCTCGCGCAGCAGCGGTGTTATATGGGAGCGACAAGACACTCCCATCACCGCCCGCGCGGCTGCATTCTGGACTAGCTGGAGCCTCCGGGTGCTCCTCAAGGGGAGCCCCATGTAGAGAGCATTGCAGTAGTCCAGGCGGGAGGTGACAAGAGCATGAGTGACTGTGCGCAAGGCGTCCTGGTCCAGAAAAGGCCGCAACTGGTAGACCAGGCGTACCCGGTAGAACGCCCCCCTGGCCACGGCCGTCAGCTGGTCTTCCAGTGTCAGCCGTGGATCCAGGAGGACACCCAGACTGCGCACCCTCTCCGAGGGGGCCAAAGTTTCGCCCCCTATAGTCAGCGATGGAGTCAGCTGACTATGCCGGGGCGCCGGCAACCACAGCCACTCGGTCTTGGAAGGGTTGAGCCTGAGTCTGTTTCTCCCCATCCAGACCCGTACGGCCTCCAGGCACCGGGCCATCACGTCAAGGGCATCATTAGGGTGGTCTGGGGTGGAAATGTACAGCTGAGTATCATCAGCGTACTGATGGAAATCCACCCCAAAACCACGGATGATCTCACCCAGCGTCTTCACATAAATATTGAACAATAGGGGAGAGAGGACCGACCCTTGTGGCACCCCACAAGTTAGGGGCCTTGGGGTCGACCTCTGCCCCCCTGCCAATACAGACTGCGTACGGTCGGTGAGGAAGGAGGAGAACCACCGCATAACGGTACCTCCCACTCCCAACCCCACCAGGCGCCGCAGCATGATACTCATAACTTCACTGAAGAATATTTTTTGAATCTGATGTTTTATTTGACTGTTTTGTGAGATTGATTGTATCATTGTTTGGCATTGTTTGGCATTGTTTCAGTTATTTTTTTGCCAGTTTTTGCTCCAATTTGTTGTTGCCATTTGTTGCTTTATTATTTGGGAGGAGTCACAACACCACAGAACTTAAGAATCTCTGCAGTAGAAGACAGAAATAAAATTCAAAATAAATGATAGTTTAGAGATGTAAATAGAAGGAAATACGATGAAATTCAAACAGGTGAAGCTCTTGAAACAGGAAACAAAAATCAAACACAAAAGTACAGTATATGATGGGGAGTAGCTGGCTTAATGTACT